TTGAGAAATATTCCCTCCCCTCCCCCCCTCTCTCTCAGTAATATTGAGAAATATTCCGTCCCCTCCCCGCCTCTCTCTCTGTAATATTGAGAAATATTCCGTCCCCTCCCCCCCTCTCTCTCAGTAATATTGAGAAATATTCCGTCCCCTCCCCCCCTCTCTCTCTGTAATATTGAGAAATATTCCGTCCCCTCCCCCCCTCTCTCTCAGTAATATTGAGAAATATTCCGTCCCCTCCCCGCCTCTCTCTCTGTAATATTGAGAAATATTCCGTCCCCTCCCCCCCTCTCTCTCAGTAATATTGAGAAATATTCCGTCCCCTCCCCCCCTCTCTCTCAGTAATATTGAGAAATATTCCGTCCCCTCCCCCCCTCTCTCTCTGTAATATTGAGAAATATTCCGTCCCCTCCCCCCCTCTCTCTCAGTAATATTGAGAAATATTCCGTCCCCTCCCCGCCTCTCTCTCTGTAATATTGAGAAATATTCCGTCCCCTCCCCCCCTCTCTCTCAGTAATATTGAGAAATATTCCGTCCCCTCCCCCCCTCTCTCTCTGTAATATTGAGAAATATTCCGTCCCCCCCCCTCTCTCAGTAATATTGAGAAATATTCCGTCCCCTCCCCGCCTCTCTCTCTGTAATATTGAGAAATATTCCGTCCCCTCCCCCCCTCTCTCTCAGTAATATTGAGAAATATTCCGTCCCCTCCCCCCCTCTCTCTCTGTAATATTGAGAAATATTCCGTCCCCCCCCCCCCTCTCTCAGTAATATTGAGAAATATTCCGTCCCCTCCCCGCCTCTCTCTCTGTAATATTGAGAAATATTCCGTCCCCTCCCCCCCTCTCTCTCTGTAATATTTCAAGGACAAACGTATCGAATCAGTCTTGCTCACTGCTATCATTAAAGATTTCTACAGATAACTAACGGCTGGTGGAAAGAGAAATATTCCTTTGTATCAGCCACAGTCAAGATTCCACTGAATTCCAGCTAGAAGCCGAGATATTCTTGTGTGATGTCTGAATAATTAGAGGCATTGTTCGTCAAGAAGGCTTTACATCTTCTTTTAATGTCAAACTCAGGCCGTAATGGAACTCTTACAATATCTCGAAAATCTCTCAGAAAGCCAAAGTAGAAGAAATGCCTTTGATTATTCCTTCAAAGTTCTTTAAAAGTTGACAAGGGTTAACCCTTAAAAGTCGAGGGGTTAATGGGTCTGGAGGAAAATTACGAAGTTAAATAATCTTAAAGCCATTGTCAGTGGCTGTACTCGGCTCGTCATGTCAATATTCCTGTCAGATTCCAACCACTCGAGCTTAACAAACAGCCATTATGACCAATCTCATGTCAAAAACTTTTGCTACTTGAGTTCAGAATGTTTTGCGAGGAAATTTATATTTTTTCTTACTGATTTTAATTGAATGGAAACGACAGTGGGTAGAGTTTTATCCCCTTGACAACTTTTTACAATCCTAAACAGACCAATACATATGACACAAGACCAAACCAAATCGTTTGTTCATTGTAAACCCGAGTTTTGCAGGTTTCTAATGTAAATTATAATCTTGAAGAGAAGAAATGAAATTTAATCAAAGGAATTATTCAACCACAGAGGAAAGAGAAGTCAATTTATGAAAACTGATTC